TTTCCATTAAAAGCAACTTTGACCCTCATTTAGTTTATATTCTAGTTATCCATAGTCCCTTCCTCTGATTATGGCTCCTCGTATGTTAACAGATTTCTTTCTGTGTGCTTGTCATTTCATTGCCACCTAGTGGAAAATCCAGCTGATATTGTTAATATGGTTTACAATGCAGCAGGCTAATTTTATCTCCAAAAAATTGTCTTCACAGTCAGTATTCAAAAATATTCCATCAAATTACACCAAAGGGTTTTAAAGAGAATTTCCTATGGTTATGTATACATGACATAACTATTTCTTTTGTATTTATTTCATACTTACAAGTGAAAGATATTTGTGAAAGGTGTATTTGTCAAAAAAAACAACTTAATAAGCAAACCTAATAGTTTAGATATTATGCATAGTAGAGTATGCATTTCTTAAATCACTGAAAAATAACTTTCCTACAATATTTCTTAAATACCAAAAAGAATATTAACCACAACCTCGTAGTTGATTTTCCCATGTTATCTTTTATGAAACTTTCATTGTTTCTGTATGTGGAGATTAGTATTATTTAATTCTATGGAGTAGAAAAAAGGACAGATAACTTCTCTATCACTAGTTTTGACAGTTCTTTCTATTTGCTCTCACATTTTCTCTGAATTTAACAAAAATAACATAGAGTAGCACTCTTGAAATATACTTTTAAAGGCCACTATATCTTCTGATTATATTCCACAGTGGTTTATTTTGAATAAGCATAGGTAAAAAGAAAAAGGTTTTGAATCACGTATTTGTAAAGCCACATAAACTTGTATCCTTCTTTAAGCCCAAACCCCTAGTGTACATCCCTGAAAAAGGAGAAAGGCTAGCTTTGTTTTCTAATAGAGCTGTACCAAATAACTCTCCTAGGCAATCATGCTGACAACAAACAATAAAGAACCTGTCATAAAATAACATGTTTTTATGGTATGCTGCCAGAAAACTGAGTTTGCAGTGGGATAAATTGCACCATCCTAAAATATGGGCACAAAGGAGAATAGGAAATATGGGATTTATTGCTTTAAAATCAAACTATCAATGTATTACAGCAGTACATTGGGAAAAAATATAAAATGCTCTGAGCCCACTAAATAACCATTAATGATGAGAAGATGTTGGAGTTGTAGATCATGTGAGCAGCTATAATGCAAGCTTTATGAAAAACCTCTTGAAATTGGTTTCCTTTTCCAATTTAGAGAAGAGAAAGGGACACAAGATAGGAGAGATATGAGAAAATCACAAACAAGTACAATATAAATGAGTCTTTTAGCATTAGTGCTCTGTCAAATGTTTCAATTGCATTTTTTATTACGCAGTTCCTAGGGCTACCTTCTGACATTTGTTAATACCTTTAGAAGGGATGTTTGCTTTTGATTTATTTGCTGAAGAAAAGCCAGTGTTGATCCTGAGAAAAGTATTCAATTAATCTAGAATGTCAAAGATTAGAATGAATCCAATTTCATGAAGAAAAATTGAAAAATATACTCTTCCTTATTGTTTTTATATTATTGGCACATTTCACTCCAATTTAAAATTTCTCACACATTAATATTGACTATTTGCTGTCTCCAGATGGAGAGAAGGGTGCACTATCAGTATACTTCTACCTCCCAGAATATATGGATACTATGACTCATCACTCTCTAAGTCTTCTAAGGAACATATGGTCACTGTTGAGCTTCAGTAATTGCCAGCAACTTCAAATTTCAGCCAAATTGGTGAGAAATCAAAACATAAAACAAGAATAAAAACAAGGGCTTAGGGTCAACTCATGGGCACTTGAACTTGGACTTTGGGGACTTGTATGAGTATTTGACTATTCTTAGTCTAGAAGAGTAAGGAGCAGTGTGGGAAGACTAATAAACTTGAAAGGAAAGAATTGATATATGTGGGAAGTCCCTAACGAGAGCCTTTCTTCCTAGAACACTGGACCCCATCTTCTCCTGGATAATGCTCATTCAGCCCCAGGGTTTCTCTAAACATCATCTTCTACAGTAAACATGATTGACCGCCACTCTCATGCCTCCCTGGCCTGATCTGAGTGGGGAGCCTCTTCCATGTGCTTCCATTCACTATCATGATCCTCATCATGTTGTATTGTCATTGTTTACTTATCTCAACCCCTCACCCTCAAGAGACTGAACTGAGGAAGACAAGATCTGTGATTTATTTAACTTTGTATACCCGGTATATAGGCACATGATGGAAGTTTACTAAATTAATAAACAAGTAGGATTAATGTCTGAGAACATGTTTTATACTGTACAATCCTCCTTCTTTAAAAAAGAAAGCATTTAGTTTGTCCTGCAAAGTAAATTCTGAAAAATCTATGCAAATCACAAATGCCTTCCAAAATGAAAGTGAGGAAATTCTTCAAAAGGAATGATATGTGGTTATACATATTTTTACTTTTCTCAAAGGAAAGTTAGTTGGCACAGCAGAAAATAGGTAGATTAGAAATTTTATGCCTAACATGGCTTCTTACAAGCCAAGAAACCCTCTTGAAATCACATCTTCAACTGAGAAAGGGACATAATCCTTTCTATGCTTGCTATTTTATAAAACTGTTGCAAGGATAAAATAAGTTAATGGAATGAAAGCATTTTTTGAACTTTAAATTGGCATATTAAGGGTATTAAGATGCTTAAAAAGCATAAATCGGTTTTCCTTACATAGAATTTTCTATTTCTTTGTCTAATACAGGGTAAAAATTGAGGAATACATTTTGGTGACAAGTTTGAGTCTGACATTGTCACTGTCAGTACTTGGATGTCAGTAGGATTTTTTTTGGCCTATAACTTTGAGCTGTTTTATTTATTATTACTACAACCAACACTATATCATCAAATATGAAACTTTAATGAAGCTTTAGGTTCAAGTCTCTTTTGTCTTTCCTTGTGGGAGAGTGAAAATTCAGTATAAAGGAAAAAAATTGTTCATGCCTGTTTCAATTACTTTTAACATTGGCTATAGCGTACTGACTTTGAAAAGCTCCTTGGTGGACCAGAGGCAAAATATAATATCAGCTGCCAGGTTCTTTGTTGCATGCCCACACATGGCAGAATAAAATAGAGGATAACTGGTCCTAACTGGTCTCCACTCTGATCTGAGACTAGACTTAGCAGAAAACCTGCCATCAGCTATAACATTAGCTAGATTATAATATATTGGAGTAATATTGAGATTTTACCACTCTGGCAATCAAAGAGTTTAATAACTTCTATCACATCCAGAATTATAATGATTTGAAATGTTTTACAAGAGATGGGTTAAATGGGTGATGGGTATTAAGGAGGGTACTGGTTGTGATAAGCACCAGGTATTGTATGTAAGGGATGAATCCCTAAATTTTACACCTGAAACTAATATTATACTGTATATTAACTAACTGGAATTTAAATAAAAACTTGAAACTACAAAAAAATGAAATGTTTTTCAATACCAATGAAACAATAAATCAATTTTTAAGTACTTGATTGATGCTCATTATACTAAAGAGGTGCCTTAAGGTCTCTCTGCCCTTACCCATAGCCCAGAAATGACACAGATACTGCAGAAATTTGGTGTTGTCTGCAAACCAGTCCCATGCCATTGCAACAATCTTGCTGCACAAAATTTCAAGATGGCACAATAGTGGTCCCATTGGCTTTTTAACCCAGCCACTTGAGGTGTGATAACTCATTAGTTGAAGAAATACTTTCTCAAGTGTCTACAAGCCAGAGCAGTAATGTGGCAGTTACAAATTGCTTCCTGTCCATCACAGAATATAGAAATTTCACACTACCCTTCACACTAATCACAATTCTTCCCTTGAAAATAAGTTATTTGAGCAATTCCATTACTGGGTGCCTGATAACCTTTTTCCTTTGGAGAAGTACACAGAAACAATTCAAAATCATTGTATCACCCCTGCTACATGCCATGATATGAGTTTTGTGACTAGAATTTAACAGTTCTGTATGAGAGAGAGAGAGAGAGTATATGTTGGTGTCAGTAGTTTATTGAGCTCTAAATTCTTTAATTTCCCCCCAAAGAACACTTATCCTATAAGATATATTTTTTAAATTCCTGTAATAATATTATAAAATATCCTTTTAAAGGATTGTTCAATGAAAGTTTAACAATTCAAAATGATAGAACTATATGGTATTAGTTGGCACAATTATTCTGGTATTATATAATTCCTAACCTTTATATCCATGGAACTCTACAGCAAAATCCTGAACAGACTTCTAAAATCCTTTACTTTTATAATATGTCATGCAAGACCTACTTCTAAATACATATTGTACCATCTATATACTTGTCATTCTTGTTAATCAGACACCATATGGCTTCCTAACCTTCTCTCTCATACCCTGCAATTAGTATCTCCTACCTTTCTTCCCCTCATCACACACACACACACACACACACACACACATTTTCACATATACATTTCATCCAAACCAGCTGGTCTCCAGACCTTTGATTGGGCCCACTTATTCTCCACTTCCTTTTCATTTAATGCTCTTTCCCTCAGCTAGTTCAGATCCTTCTATTTCAAAGTTCATTGACTTCAAGAAGCACAGAATTCTTGACTTACCAAATCCACCATTCATCTTAACCTTACTTTGAATATTCTCATTAGTTATTTATACACTATGTGTACCACACCAGTATTGGCTTCTTTTTACATTGCCTCTGAAGGATTCTGGGAGCTCCAGGTTGGCATGTAACATCTTCCAAGTAGATTTGAAATTCCTCAAGACCAGGAGCCATTTACTTGGCTTTCTCTGATTTCCCATTCCATTTGATACATGCTATGCTCAAAACAGGCACTGAATGCTTTTTGAGTAAGTGCTTGAATGAATTTTGAAAATGAATAACTGTTCATTGCTTCAGACTTGTTCAGATGATTATCAGAGATACCTGAAGTATTCATTTTTAAGCAATCCGGTTTTGTTTTAATCAGCCATAGTGTATGGTTTTATACTTACCGGAACAGAAACTTGAGGATTATCTGCAAGTTTTCCCAGCACAGCAAAGCCATCAACATCAATTTTGCCTCTTGGCTTTATAGGTAAGGATTGAATCCTGTTGCAATCAACAAAAAGAGTAGCAGTACTCCTTTCCACACCGATCATGATCTTATGCCACTGGGAATCAAACAAGGAAGGCAAATTTGAAAAGGTTGCAGTTTGGAGACTTCCATCCAGTCCCTTGTATGAAAATGCAACAGATTTTGTTTGGCCATTAATCTTCACGCCAACTTGCTCCTTCCCTGAGGAATCCTGAATCTGCCAAATGGTCCAGTTCTTTTCAAGTGTGCTTCCAGTCATCCGAAAAGTAGTTAAAAAGGAGTATTCTTCAGGCAGACCACTGGGATATAAATGCCTGAGTAAAATTTTAAAACAGTAAATAACAGTCTTGTTTTCTGTACCCATGCATGTTACCATATTCCCTTATTATGCTTTCTTAGATTCTAGACCTACAGAAAGGCTACAGTGTGAAAAACTATGCCCAGTTTGTTCTTTCATGACTGTCCATAAAAACCTTCAGAAAAGCTCATTCATGTACATTAATGCTCCGTCCTAAAATACACATTAAAAAAAAAAAAACCTTCCTCATAGCTAAGGAGGGTTCCAATGCCACATAACCCCAACAATATTACTATTTATGCTACCTAAAAACTCCTGTTCAACAATTCCTTCTCAGCCAAAAAACATATTCTTGCAAGATTTTTGGCAGCATTTCTTCCACAAATTAGAGATCATTTGGAATCCAAGTCAGCTCTACTAGTTAATAAAGCCATTTAATTAAAGCAGCTTTTAAATTTTTTATTTTAATATAATACGTTGTTAGGAGTATTTGTTATTTCCATAATTGCTTGGGTAGTTCCCTCCACAATTATATCCTAGACCCACATATGCATTTTGAGAATCAGTAACTGTATAGACTTGAGAAGCTCCTTCACACTGAGCATGTTAGATGCCATTAATTTTGTTTGGTAAATAATAATATTTGACATTTCTGAAAATAGTTATGGACCAGGACTCAAAGTCCCGAATAACCTTCCTTCAGGTCAGACTCCTATTAAATACCCCCCTCTTGTGAAAGTAAAAAACAGAAAGGCAAGAAGAAATATCTAAGTGGATGCTGATTTGATTGGTTACAAAATGAGTAACCTATAAATTTATCATATGTGTTACTGCCAGTTGCATTAAAATATATTGTTGGGGTCAAGAATTTCTAAACCAAAAAATTATTCAGTTCCAAGAATGTTTAGAAATAAGTGAAATTACTCAACTTACTAAGCTTTTATATCTTTACGCTGACTTTATAAAACTTTATCATCCCTCACAATAGCATAAATAAACATATAACTTACTTTACTGCAAATATTTTGTACACCTTCAGTAAAATGGGTCAACTATGTCAACAAATTTCATTGCTTTGCTGATTTTATAAAAATAACAAAAATATGAAGCTTTTCACCTGAACACCCTTTTAGCATCCAAGTAGTTCTTTTAACCTTAAGTTCTCAAACGACTTTTTTTTATTTATAATACTGGGTGAATTCCTTTGTTAGTACACATTCTTAAGTGGTCACTGGTGATATGTGTTGTACTTATTGCAAAGTTTTCAATTCATTAAGTATTTGTCAAGTATACAGGAGGTTTTGGGGTGCCTGGGTGGCTCAGTCAGTTAAGCATCTGCCTTTGGCTCAGGTCATGATCTCAGGGCCCTGGGATCAAGCCCCACATTGGGCCCCTTGCTCAGTGGGGTCTGCTGCTCCCTCCCTGCCCCTGCTCAGGCTTGCTCTCTCGCTCTCTAATAAATAAATAAAATCTTGGGGTGCCTGGGTGGCTCAGATGGTTAAGCATCTGCCTTTGGCTCAGGTCATGATCCCAGGGTCCTGGGATCGAGTCCCGCATCGGGCTCTCTGCTCCTTTGAAGCCTGCTTCTCCCTCTGCCTCTCTCTCTATCTCTCATGAATAAATAAATAAAATCTTTAAAAATAAATAAATAAATAAAATCTTTTTAAAAAAAAGTATACAGGAGGTTTTAACACGTACATTTAAAAAGATTCAGTTTGGAGCTAAAGAAGAAAAAAAAATGTGTGTAAGATCTGTTTCCCCAGAATAAAGATGTCTACATCTATTTGGATATTTGCTTTTAATATAGATTTTGTTTGACATATTTCCATTGACTTTAAATTTTTCAGAATATGCATATTCCAGAATAACCTCTAGAGAAGAAGCTAAGGTTCACTGATGACAGTATAATATATTGCCTACTGTATAATTATAAAACCTTATAGAAGTTTATACATTTCATTTAAATGACCTCAATTAACTTGGAGCTGGGAGATAAGTTTTAAAAGTTTTATTCAGTGGTGAAATTTGACAAGTATCCATTTAAATTATGAATATGTTATTTTGATATTCTTCTCACTTAATGATCTGGATTTAACCAGATGCTTAAAGAATTTTTCTTTTTTGTCCAAATATAGTTATTGTTGGGGTGTGAGCCTTTCATAGAAGAAAGATAAATCTTAATGTTTTGTTCTCTTCCTTAAAGCATTCTTTTTCTAGGTTTTTGTAAACCTATGTTACCAATGTATTTGTTTACAGATGCACTGAGCAAGGCCATAGAATCTCATCAGCCCCTACATAAAACAAATCTATTTTGCTCTGATTCCACAAGTCACAGTAACTTGTCTAAGTGACTCTTTTGCAAAGACATCATGAGGTTGACTGAGGGATCTCTCCCAATTTATGCTTCATCTCATCTTTCCTGCTAAATGAGCAAAGAGATTATGTTGAAGGTAGGATAGAACATAATGTCCCCATTTACCTCTGACTTGGTTTTGTAATGCCAAAAACTTTTTTTAAAAAAATGAATTGGTGACTGAGGTTGCTAGAAGAACAGTTCATTTATAGACATATTGTTAAATCAAAGGTATCCATCTGCTCTCTTTCTTCATATACACGAAGATAATATATATGTTTATGTTTGTGTATATATACAAGTATAATCAAAATTATCATGTTATTAATCTTTTAAACTAGGTAATACAATTTGTCAATATAAGAGAAGAAAGTTCCTTTCAGTGTTCAAATTAATAAAATATATCTGTATTTATACATACTTAAGACCTTTTAGAAGTCCTCACAAGTCTAATAGCAGTTGGTAGCATTGTCTTTTTTGAACACCTGAGAGTCTGTTCTTGCAAAGATGCTATGCACATCGATAAGTAAACTTGACAGCATACATAATGTAAAAGAAGCTGGATCTATAAATGATTTATTTCATTATGTTACAATCTGCACAGAGTACCTTAAAAGAAGAACTGTAAGGGTTTGAATAAAAGATAAGAAGACGTTAGACCTTGAAATGGTTGTTTATGACCTTAACCCAAAAAAGAGCTAAGAATTGTATTTGTTAAGGTAAACAAACAAAAAAATGTTTAGAAATTTGAGTTGAGAATATGATACTATTCTCTAAATAAAGAATAAAAAGCAAAAAATTATGTCTCATAATCTTTCAAAAAAATTGAAAATAGGAAGGTAAATTGTGACTCTATCACATCAGCTTTGTACGCCGTATTCTCATTTCCCTACCATGAAAATCTTGTTAAGGTTTTTTTTTTCATTCCCTCAGAACCTATGTTCTCCAGTATAGAAATTTCCTTTAAACCAAGACTACTCCCTGCATGGTCTGAGAGCAATTCCAGCCCCTGCTTTTCTTGCCACCTGGTTTTTGAATGAGTAGGACTGAGAGGGCAGCTTGAAAAGAAAGAATCCATTAAGGAGAAAAGGCTCCCGTCTGCACACTCTCCTTCTAGTGCTCTTCACTACTTGAATGAGTACTTAACTAATACTGCTGTGTGCCAGGCTCTGTCCAAACCCTCTCCAACTTATTAACATTTGCTCCTATGACACAGTTATTATCATTCCTAATTTATGCTGAAGGGACTGAAACAAAGATAGTGTAAGTACTTGCCCAAAAGTACACTTTATTACCTATTTGAGACTCCATTTATTTCAGTGCTCTGCCTCTCCCCTCCTCTTTTTATTTCTTTCTCCTACTTTTTTCTACTTCTGACCTAATTCTTTTTTCATCTTTTATTAAACTTTGCCAGTAAAGCAGAGATTTTAGTCTTTGGGGGGCAGGGAGTCAAGGAGATAGAGAATATGGGAAACTGGTTCTATACTGAGAAAAATATTTAGTGACAGCTCTAGGCACTTAGAGAAGAGCAACAGCAAAGATGAGCAGGAGATATGGGTTTATGTGGCCTCAAGTTGGTCAATATCTGAACTTAGAGTTGGTTAATGACAGTCCAGATTGTACCTCAAATTATAGAAGAGAGAATTAGGTCAGCATTGGGGGATCTTGCATCATGTTTATTTTATTAAAGAAAGGAAAGAAATAGATGTCTTTAAAGCTTATTTAAGAATACAACTAGGGCTAGACACTGGGCATGGAGACTACTTTTTAAAAAAAAAAGAACACAACTAGCACTTCTGTGCATGAAAAGAAAATATAAGCAAAAAAAAAAGTCAGTAGCTGTTATCATGCCTATAATCTTTCCAAATGTGAATAATTTTCCAGGGTCAGTATTAAATAGTGGTTGAAGCACCATTCTGCCTGAATTTCAGTACTTCTAGCACCTCCTAACCCTGGGACCTCATGTAAGTAACTTAAATTTTCTGGCCTCAGTTTACTCTTTCATAAAATGTGGATAATAATGTCTCTACCACAGGGTTGTGATGAGGATGAAATTTAATGTTAATTAGTAAATTTATAAAAAGGGCTTATGCAGTACACTATTGTCATTTTATAAAATATATTTCATATTTAGAAAAAATATGGTTCATAGGTTCCAAATATGAATTTCTATCTGCAATCTGGCACTATATCAGAATATTCTAATTTGACCAAAATTTTCATTATTATAAACATTTGGAGCCTTTATAATACTCTTTTACTGTTCTAAGTAATCACTATTTACTTTTACACCTTAATTTTTATCAAAGCCTTAATTTTCTTGTTCATCTATCAAAGGAATCTTAATTCAGTTTTTTGCAGTGCAATAAAATATACAATAATTATGATAATTACATAGAAGGTATTTAAGTGGATATAAAACTGAAAATCCTGAAGCTCATTCGTAACAATGGCTTGACTCAACACATACACTAAAGCACGACCACAGTTATAAATAATTTAAAGGATAAAAAACATAGTTCTAGAGAAGGAGGTAAATGAAGTGGAGGATTTTTAAATTATTATCACTACCATTGCTTCGGTTATCATTATTCTAGTTTTGCTTTTGTTTGATTCCCGCCAGGAGCCAAGAAATAGATGTATGGTTCGATTTCAGCACCAGGACGCTTGAACAGCACCATTGTGAGTCTTCTAACCACTCCGCGGTTCCTAGTTAAATTTATGCTTCAACTCTGGCACTTTTCACAGAGGGTCCTTTCAGCCAAAACCAGACAAATTATACAAAAACAGAGAGCAAAGTAATAAGAACATGTCCTGAATCAATGTATAATGGTTTCAGTGATTTTTTTTTTCTCCCTGGAATGAAAAGTAAATTACCTACTGAAAACATGAAGAGTATGCACATATTTAGACACTGAACACTGAAGCAGATAGGTAAATAGATTTCTTCATCTTCAAATAAAATGATCTAAGAAGCACTGAGCATGAGAAGATTTTCTAATATTGCATAGCTTTTCATTTTTTAAAATGCATTTGAGGCAGATAATTAGATAAAATGTTTTTATATACCTTGTTGGAATCCTGAAGTCTACATTATTTCCCAATTTGTAAGCCACTTGTAATGCAGTTGATCCTACTACCCTCTGAATAGCTCTTCTAGATGCTGCTTTATCTACCTGGAACTGAGAAATCAAGTCAAGGCCTACAGAAAGGGAACACAAAATAAAAAGTCTAAAATGAGATTGGTTATATTCCTTTCCACAACCTTCCCAAATAAAAGAATATATCAGGTAGGTTTATAGAAAGCATGGATTTTCAATATGATACAAGACTACTTGCCTGGTAAATCATCTTGACCAATCCTGACCTTTGGACAGAGTTCATTTCCACCATTAGAATTTGAATTAACAGGGAACCCTGCAAAAGAGATAGCATATCATCCTACCCCAACCCCTACAAGGACCGTCAAGATATATCAATAACAATAAGAGCTGAACAACTATTTAAAGGAGAATAATATGCCAAATAGCTTGCTTATAGTGTATTTGGCTTTAACTCTATGACTCTATGATTATAATTAATTCATCTTCAGCTCATCCTGGAAGAGAAACAAGGTGTGAAGTTTTAATAATTTGCACTGGGAAAATGTTCCTTTGGGAGAAGTTAGGAATTTGTTCCTTTTGGAACCAGAGCTGTACAATGTTCTGAATGGCAGAGCGTCAGACGCCTGTTTGGAAAACTTCTGGTGGCTTGGACTAGAAAATATTCCTTAAACACCACAAATTTTAGAATTCCTAAGAGAACCCAGAGCGAGCCTTGAGCCAGTTAATGGGACTTCTAGAGAGTGGAGTTCTCAGGGAGTTTGCGGGGAGACTTGGGATTCATTAATCCAAAATAAAATTTATAGGGTGCTTTTAATTTTACAAATTCTTTCCAAGAGATCAAAAAATGGTCCCAGCTAGACTATTGCTAGCATCCTAGAATGGGTAAAAGCAATGAGAAAAAGAAAAGAATCATGAAAATGATTAAACCCTTAATTGAATGAGAAATCCTAGAATTAAATTGGGTGCTCCTTACACAGGTGGAAAGTTGCAGGGAGAAAGTTTTTAAGAAGGCTTCTTGTAACTGTCCAACCCCAGCACCCTGCTGAGACTCACCTGACAACAGAGACTTCCAGACTTCAGAAAAAGCATTTTCCAGCTACAAGTTTTGGTTCAGCCATCCCAGTATATCAAAATACTCTTTACGTCTCCATTGACCCCAGGTCATTCACCCATCCATTCATCCACCCATCGGTCCACCCACCTAATATTACCAATCATCATTGAACCAAGTAGGCACTGTGCAAGGCACTAGAGTACACAGCTTGGCTTTCCTGTCAACTGTGATCACACCCAGGACTTCTCTTCTATACCCAACACTGCCCACATAAAACCAGCCATGGAGCAAACCCATGGCTAAAGCAGGTTTGAAGAGTGAGGCTGTGGAGGCCTATGGATGTTTCACTCAGTTCTCACTCAGCCACAGCCCTGCCTGATCCTTTCTGGGAACAAGTGATATTTCAAAATCCAGAAACTGTGGCCTTACTTGGGCGACGCTTGACAGCAGCAGATGCCCAAGATCCCAGGAAACTGCATACAAAGAAGAAAACTGGAATTTTCCTAAAGAGGAGAAAAGAAAATAACTCAAACAGGAATCCCTCCAGATGGGGACTGCTTAAATATTTTGAGATATGGTAAACACAATTAATGTAGGTGATCAAATCTCAGTATAGTTTTTTTTCCATTTGACTTTGAAATCTTGAGAGATTTAATGAATTCTCACATCTCCAGCTCCTACACTAAAACAATAATGAGACTGCCATTTGCTCTATCTCACTTTCTCCACATCTACCTATTTCACCATTTCTACATCTATTTCCTTGTCTATGTTTTCTTTCATCTTAGTATTTCTCCTTCTTCACCTTAATAGCTCTCTCTTTCTCCTTTCTCTGTCTCTCTCCTGTTTCTTATGCTTGTTCTCTTGTCTCACTCTCATCTGTCTCCCTGTCTTTCTCTGTCTGGGTCTCTCTCTCTTTCTCCTCTCCCCTCTCCCATCTCCCCTCACCTCCTCTCATCCTACCATCACTGCAGAAACACAGACCCTTGGTTCTAAGGGCCCCCAGCCCAGTCTCCCCACCACTCTTTCCAATGTCAAGGACTTACCAGAAGTTCTTCATTTTCCCAACCGGTTTTCTTTTGTACCAACAGTCCTAGTGATGAAGGGGTTGTAGGGGAGGGAGGTCAGTGCTCCCCCCAAGATGCCTTCACTGTCACCCCAGAACTAATGGGTTCTGGACTCAGCGTTTGTTCCTCCTGCCCTTGAAAGGGCTTAAAGCAAAGGGAATGAACCAGAGGCATCTGGTGACACTTTAAACCACAGCAGAGGGAAGGGGTGGGGAGAGGCGGCCCTGTGAGACCAGGCCTAGCCAGGGGTGTGTCCCCAAAGCTAACAAGGTTACACTGAAGGAGGGATTAGCAAGGGAAAGTTTGCTGAAAAGAAAAAAAGTCAGGATGTGGAGAAATTCACCAGAAAAATTCAAGCAAGCTGCTCTAGGAATACAGTGGAAGCTTTTAGAACTGCTATAGGAATACAGTGAATGAATGCTTTTAGAGGACTGAGGTAAAGAGGGGCTCACTGGAAAGCAGAGATGTGGGAACTCATGGGCGCCTTGGTGCACAGCCAATCTAGATTTGTATCTCCATTTGTTCTGATGCATACCAGTTGTATGTTTTGGGGCAAGTTAGTTAATCTGTCTGTAACTCAGTTACCTTAGATGAAAAGTGGGTTTTAAATAGTCACCTAAAACAATTGTTTTGAGAATTAAACAAGATAGCAGAGAGTCTAATTCCTGGCTCAGGGGAATAGTCATTGTTCCCCATCATCATCATCATTATAGCTAATATAACTTCACTCTTTGCCCCCCTCTGTTGAAAATGCTTGAAGCATGATAACATTTGATTCTCAGAACACTATAAAGTAAAACTAAAATTATTCTTATTCTACAGGTGAGACAACTGAGGCACAGAAAATAAAGTAACTTGTAACTTGCTCAAAGTTGCACAGCTAATTAATTACTCAATACATGCCAGTTCTCTGTACTTCATGGCTAGAAATCTTGGTAAAATGTAACATCAAGCCCCCTAGTTTCTATTTTTTCTTAAACTCTATAATTACCAGAGCTAAGCAGAATATCTTGGGAAATAAGCAACATACTATCCTCTATGAACAAGTTGAGAGCATGTCACAAGGAGCACAGACCTGAAGAGAAGGGTTTTTATCAGAACCATGTCCTCTCCAGAACCTGAGTACTTCAAGAGAGAGCCTCCACCCTGTTCACCTGGGATGGTCTGTTTCTTGTCCCATCTTGGGGGACATCAGTGTCCACTCCAGAAACAAAGACTTTCAGGCCCAGATGATCCAATGATCTTAATAAGTTTTGGTATCTAGTGTGAAATAGTATTGTTTTCTTGAAATTTCTTTAATTCTTAAATCAATTTAATTTTTCAATTGCAAAATAAATGGTATTATTTCTTATTTTTTGTTTCTTTAAAAAAAAAAATCCTCTCCTCTTCTGCTTTCCTCGGCTCGAATGAGAATTTGTTTCCCCTGATGAGCTGAGAACCAGGTAAACCTGAACATCCACACCCTTTGTTCCCCTTTCCCTTTCTACTCATGACCTACCTGTCTCCCCCCTGGCATTAGGACATCCATTTCCTCATGTTGTTTGGAGCTCTCCACGGGGCCCTGTCATTCTCCTTCCGTCTCTCAAAATTAGGATTCCCAAAGGTAGCCATTTTGGCTGAGTCACAGAATTATAAATGGTCCTAGCCTAGCTTTTTCTTGAAAGTTGACTAGGGCTTATGTAAATGGAACAGTTTATTAACCCAAAAAACCCTGAACTTCCAATGGTAGGACTTCAGAAGAGAAACTGTGCAGCTGGGGACCTCCCTGAAATCACACAAGGTAGGACAGCCCTAGATCCACAGGGGAAGGGGCATTTTCCAAAGGGACCCTCTCCACTTAAGTTCTTTATTTGTAGTACAGATCCTCCAATACTATTTACTGTGGGAAACAAGAGAGGCAGATTTTCCCATATAATTAAGTGTTTGAGAAATCCTTTTGTTAAGTGTTTTAAATATCTCACTTCTGCTTTTGTCCCCTCCTCCTCCCACTTTGAAGAATCCTCCACAGCTACAATAAGAAGGCAAGTGAAGGGGGACTTTTAATAAAAGATTTTTTAAATGAGAAAAAAATAGGTTTTCTCATAAGCAGTTTCGCTTTATTCCAGCTTGGCAGTTTTATGTAAGATGATGAAGAGCAAGTAACAGCTCTATTAAGAAAGAATGTTAAGTCCAGAGAAAACAAGATCTCTCTCTCTCTCTCTTAAATACACACACACACACACACACACACATTTAAGGAGACTTCTTTCTCCCTTTTCCACTCCTGTTTTGTATTAATCATATTTCATAACTTGACATGAGAGTCTCACAGGGAGCAGTGCAAATCCATACTCTCTGGCCTGGGTCAGATTGCACCCTAAAACCAGACACAAGCTTTTTCATCACTAACACTGTTCCCTCACTTTACTTAACAGTTTTGTTCCTGAAAAACTATGTGGAAATGAAATCTGATCAATTATATAAGATTGTAGATGCACTAAGACAGCATGATATTTTAAAATTATCCATTTTGTAAATAGAAGTATTTTATACAGAATAATTATGCTTTCATCCCCTTTTACTCCCTCCCTTGCCCAACACATTCTGCTCTATACAACACACACACACACATCTTTCCCTTTCTAGAAATCCAGAATTTTATTTACTTACAGTTTATATCAGGGAATATCATCACAAATAATCAACTTTCTTGATCATCAACTCTCTTTCACTTGTGTACCCATTCAGCAAACACTTATTGAATGACTATATGTACCAAATATATAACCACTCTTACTGAGTGCTAGGAGTTGAGGAGACAAAAAACTTTGCCCTGAGGAAGCTCACAGCCCGGTTGGGAAGTCCAGTATGAAAACGACTGCAAACTAGTGAGGGAATGAGGTTGCAGTGTCACTGAAAACAAGTATGAACTCAGTCCAGGAGCATCAGGAAATTTTTCATAAAGAAAGTGCAATCTTAAAGGATGAATAGAAGCCTACCAAGAGAACAAGTGGGAACAGTACATTCTGGGCAGAAGAAAGAGCAGGTACCATGACAAAAAGGTAGAAGAGAGTATTTTAGGAACCCCAAGTTTAATTCAGGAACTCTTTCACTTGGTAAATATATGTTGGTGGCTCTTCCACCATGAACCTTGAACTGGTCTCAGCACAGAGGTACAGCAGAGAAAGACCAGTTCCCTGCCCCCACGGACTTTACAGCTGGTGGGGAGAGAGATACTAAATACATTTACAAGAATAGACATGGTAATTTGAATTGGAACTGTTATAAAAAATATACAGGGGCACCTGGGTGGCTCAGTTGGTTAAGCAACTGCCTTCGGCTCAGGTCATGATCCCAGGGTCCTGGGATCGAGCCCCGCATCAGGCTCCCTGCTCCTGGGGAGCCTGCTTCTCCCTCTCCCTCTACCTGCCACTCCCCCTGCTTGTGCTCTCTGTCAAATAAATAAAATCTTTAAAAATATATTCAAAAGTGGGCAATGTGTATTAGAGAAAGGCAGGGGTAGGTTTAGAGGTTGATGAAGATTGAGGGGTAAGGGAAGGCTCTGAGATGACGAATTTTGACTCAGACTAGATGAGAATCCAGAGACAAGGCTGATGAGGTAGACTGGAAAAGGAGAGGAGGGCAGATGGAACTACTTGGTATTTAAGTTTAGCAAACCCAGTATATGGTGATGTCGTTTTCTGAAATGACAAGTAGAAGGACCGTGGGGGAGGTGCTGAGGAAGGGGAAATTGAAAACCTTTGAAAGAGTTTGGACTTTATTCTGGCTATTAAGGGAGCTGGATGAAGAGTTTGAGGCCAAAGATAACTTTTTAGATATGTCTTCAGAAAAATGGTTCTGGCATTGCTGAAGGATGGATTGAATGGATTTGATAAATATACACAACTGAAACAAGTATCAGAAGACAGTACTTTATTTTTTTTTAATTTTATTATGTTATGTTAGTCACCATACATTACATCATTAGTTTCTGATGTGGTGATCCACCATCCATTGTTTGCGTATAACACCCAGCGCTCCATGCAATATGTGCCCTCCTTAATACCCATCACCGGGCTAACTCGTCCCCCCACCCCCGTCCCCTCTAAAACCCTGTTTGTTTCTCAGAGTCCATAGTCTCTCACGGTTCATCTCTCCCTCTGATTTCCACCCCCTTCATTTTTCCCTTCCTTCTCCTAATGTCCTCCATGCTATTCCTTATGTTCCACGAATAAGTGAAACCATATGATAAATGACTTTCTGTGCTTGACTTATTTCACTCAGCATACTGTACTTTATCTATGTAGAGCACTTTACATAGATATGTAGAGCACTCTATTTTCTGTTTTATTCTATTTCATTTTTTACTGATGGTGACCAACTCATTAAATTGATTTCAGGACCAGCTAATGGGTTGCAACCCATGGTTTTAAAAACATTGTGTTAGGGGCGCCTGGGTGGCTCAGTCGTTTCAGGGTCTGCCTTCAGCTCAGGTCACGATCCCAGGTTCCCGGGATCGAGCCCCGCATCGGGCTCCCTGCTCGGTGGGAAGCCTGCTTCTCCCTCCGCTTGCCACTCCTCCTGCTTGTGCTCTCTCTGTCAAATAAAATCTTCTTAAAAAAATAAAATAAAATAATAGAAACATTGTGTTAGAATACAGTAGGCACTAGATATGTCCAGATATATCTTTCCCCTTATTTCCTGGCATAAGGCACAATAGTTGGGACATTCCATAAAATTCATAGAATAGTAGAGAAGGCTCCTTAGTTTTAACACAATGATATTTTTTTAAAGTATTCTTGAAGTGAAGTTACCAAAAACACAACTTTTCTAAAAGATGCCATGTGTCCCACATTTACTTTATAGATTAAAACTAAGAAGACCCCCTTTTAAAATTAGCTTTCTAATAGTGTCTAGTTGTTAGCTTTCTTCTGTATGTCTTGTATTTAAAAATAAAATACTCGAATACCTAGTGACACAGAGCAGTTGTGTGAGGATGCTGCAAATTAGCCTC